ATATGAGCTGGAATAAGCAAGAGCTTCTTCTTTTGTCTAGCAATAAATTAGTGCACATTATTCTTTCTTCTGCTATGCAAGAAGTTCCTGCAAACACTGCCACTTTGCAACATGTATTTTCTTTCTTAAGACATTTACATAAAGAAGCCTCTACAGCCTTCATTCTTCCCCTCTGCAAAGAGCAGGTCCCAAATAAAACTTGCATCACACTTTCCAGGCTCCAGTAACTTACACTGGATGAAAAGGAGATGCAGAGTAGAATTGCCCAGCAGGAATGCTGAGGAGCAAACAGGCCTTATTCTGTGTGGTCACCCTGTAGACCTCTACCAGGGTTGCAGACCTCATCTTGCAGTCCTCGCTCAGACAACACTCCCATTGACTTCCACAGAATGTCTGTCTGAAGAAGGATGCAGGATTTGGCCCAGAAGTTAAAAAAAGCCGTCTCAGCTTTCAAGTGTAGATGATTAATGTCCCAGAAATAGTGGGCAGAGGTTTGGCACACTGTATGAGACTGACTTAAAGCTGACATTTTGCTGCTCTTTCTCAGCCTCTGTGCTGACACAGGCCCCAAGGCCTGAGATGCTGGATCCACCATGGACACATCCCACCTGCCACTGGACTCAGCTGAGGCATCGAAAAGACCACGCAAAGGACTGAGTCCAGGGTTTCACACAAGCTGCCTTCTATCTCTGCAAGTCTGCAAAAGCTTCTGCTTCCAAATTTTGGTTGCCACTCAACTAAAATCCTGTGAAGCTCCTCACAGAGATGAGTGTCTCCATTACAGCTCCTCTTTCTGAAAACCTGTCATGCACAGGCCACCCTCTCTCAAAAATCATTCCCTTACAGGCTCTCACATAAAAAAGGGGTGTCCTGCACCAAAACTGTGGCATATACAGGCTCTGAGAGGAGAGTGTAACACAAGTGCATCTGCGACTCTGAACAGGCTGCAAGAAAAAATGATGAGCACACCCAAGTGTAAGGAAATAATGCACAGATCTCTTTCCAGCAGCAGTGTGGCAGGCTCTGCACACACCTCTGTAACTACTGTCCTCTCCCACTCCTTCCAGCAGTGATTCTCTGGCTTGGAGCTCAGCACAGGCAAATGGCCAACCCCTGAGAGAACATTTCCAAGCTGTGCAGCACTGTGCAAAGCAACAGAGGAAAAAAGGGTGCAGAGCAGTAAAGAGATGGAGGGTGGAAAAGCAACACAATCCCAGAGAGCAAAACAAGGATGGTCTCTATTGGGCTCACAGCTGAACAGGAACGTCCCATGCTGAAGAATCCCAGAATCATTAGGGCTGAAAGAGACCTCTGGAGATCACCCGGTCCACACCCCTGCCAAGGCAGGGTCCCCTGGAGCAGGTGACACAGGAGCATGTCTAGGTGGGTTTGGAATCTCTCCAGAGAGGCAGGCTCCAAGCCGTCCCTAGGCAGCCGCCACCCTTAATATACAGAAATTCTTCCTCAAGCTGAGGTGGAATTTGTGTTTCAGCTTACGGCCATTGCTCCTCATCCTGTCACTGGCCATCACTGAAAAGAGCCTGGCACCATCCTCTGACACCCTCTTTAAGATATTTATATGCATTAATGAGATTCTCTCTCAGCCTTCTCTTGTCCAGACTAATCAATCCCAGCTCCCTCAGTCTCTCCTCATAAGAGAGAAGCCATAAGCACCACTTAAAGACCCCAAATGCATCCTCTTGGTGCCTTGAAAATCCAGAAGTGGTCTAAAGGAAATTTTGTCTTGCACAGGGAAGCCACCAGTGGGATGAGAAAACAATGACACAGTGACAGATCAGGCCATGCCAGTACATAGTGTCCATCTATGCATTCTTACTGTACAGTGAACAAGGCAGCTGGAGGAAAATGCCACTTCCATGCCCTCCTAATGGAACTGGAGGCTCCTGAAACCTTTGCGAGTGGAGAGCAATGAAAGAGAAAACTTTATTCAGGGAGACACACAAGCTTCTGTCCTGCTCAACAGCCGTATGTTCCAATGGGACCAAGGGCAAAGAGGGAAACATTAAAGTTCCAGTCATGCTCATGTGAATCATTAATCACTGCAAGGACTGGAGAGAGGCCATGGGTTTATATCCACGCAGCTTGGTTCAGGAACTGGGCTCAAAATAAAGGCAGAGAAACAGAGAGCATGCCAAAGTGACCAAACATGACTGAAAGGAATATGCAGAAGAACAGAATATCACCTCCTTTTGAGGAACATTCAGATGGAAAGGAGAACAGTGATGAGTATCACACCATGATCCTCACCATCCAGCACAACACCCAGTAACTGTTCATGGCTGCTTCCCTCTTCATTTGCTGACACTAAGTGCTGCAGGACTGAGATCAAAGCCAGCTCTGTACAGGCAGGGAACACCTGGGAATTTCTGGTAAAACATTTTTGCTGGGAAATTAAATGGAGCAGTTGCTGAAGAAGATCTAAGGCTGGGGGAGAGAAGTTCAAAATATGCCAGATTTTGCATGACACTTTCAAGGAAAGTACTTGAAAGCAGAGAAAGCTGTGCTGAGATTAATCAGGAAATAGAAAGAGATTCACTGCTGTGCTCCAGACCAGAGCTATTAGCCAGGCAGCCAGGTCAGCTTTGGGAATAGTAAAGAGTCAAACCCAGGCTAAAAACACACATGGGGAGCAAGGGAAGAGGGAGGAGCCACATGTCAGAGAAGGTCCTGTTACTGAAAGGAGGCAAACAGGGAAATGAAACACCAGGCTTAACCCGGGCTGGCAGAGAGCAGCAGCTCTGAAGGAAAAAGAGAAAGAAGAAACAGAGCGGCTGATGAGAGCTCTGCAACAAACAGGACAAGAAAAGGAAATGACAACTGGATCTGGAAGGGAAGTCTGATGAGAAGGGGTTTTTTCTTCAAAGAGTGGCAGTGAAAGCGAAATTCTGTAGTCAGAACAATATTTCCACAATGGAAATAGAGGTAGCAGCTCACAGGTAATGTGGGAATGTGGTACTGAGTGCCTGGGTAAGATCTCTGCTTTTAAAAGGAAAAAGCATTGTGGGTCCTCCTCAAAACTACACAGTGGTCTGTGGACAATGGCACGAGAAGAAAAGGAAATCTCCAGCCAGCACTACAGTGCCCCTACTTGTGGGAAGCTCTGTACTCAGCAATTATGTCTTTCACTTTCAAGGGAAGAAACTCTTGATTTGTTGTCTCCTTAAACTCTACACAAAGGACCTCATTTCGTGCATTGGAGACATACAACATGACAAGCAGATCACATGGAGGACACACACCAGGGAACTTCATGACTGGGCTGAAGGCTGGAAAGGGGGCACTGCTCTGGATCTCAGTAAAAGGACTTCTAGAGCATGGAGCTAACCACCATGGAGTGGAAAGAAACCATGGACTTTGGAGACTCTTTCATGGACCAATGTCTTGCAATGGTTTGGTTATATGGAAAACTTTAAAGGCAAAGGATTATGGACTAGAATTTGAAATGCTAAATCATAATGAAATTCTAGGGCTCTCAAGAAAATGATGTACTGGATAAAAAAGAAAACAAACCAAAACTCTATTCGAGCAAGTGAAAACAAGAAAAGAGTGGGAAGATTGTCTTGTTTGAAAGGCAACACGAAGCTGTATTTGAGTTTGATGGCTGATAGTGTGAAGATGCAGGGAAATGTCCATGGGAAAGACCATCTTTTTCATATCACACAAGGCAGAACAGTGAATGCATCCTAAGTAAGGGGAGAAGGCAAAGAAATCACGAAGAGTGATCCTGCAGAATTTGAGCAATATTTTTACTGAGTCCTGTGGTCTTTGGTCTGAAAAGGATCATGCAGCAGTGGGAAAAGAAGGGAAGGTCTGAGCATCATGGCAACCAAAAGGTCTTGAGTTTTGACTGAGAATTACAATGAGAATTACCCTAACACAGCCCATATACCAATCTCTAAAACAGATCAACTGAGGCAGGAAAAATTGGCCAACATTGTAAAAGCAGTCACTACGTCTTATATACAAGAACCAGGCATTCAAACCCAGAAGTTGCACCCTATCTTCCCTTCACCTCTGCAAACATACAGGCAGAACAGTTCCTATCACAAAGGACTAGGTATATCAAACTGGTGAATTCAAACACTGAGCCATCCACTACTTGATAATGACTCTGGAAAACACTGCATGCTGTTTATTTAGTCCAGGTCTAACTTCTAAAACGTAGTCTTACCATTAACCCTTTGGATGAAAATTCAGAGTACACCAATTTTGTAAAAGTAACCGAAGCAAGAAAAACCCAAAGAACAACACACAAAAAACCCCCCAGAGTTTTACAGACAGGTCAAAATTAAAAAGCCTCTCTTCTACAGAGGCAATTATTCTCACAGAAATCTTTAGAAACTGCATTCAGCCATGTGACAAAATGGGAGTGCAATGGTTCCCTACGAAACATGGTAGTTTCACTGCTTTCTTGGGGTGAAGCTAGGAAAGAATCCTTTTTTTTTTTTTGAAAGAGTAATTACCTTTTAAACTATAATTTCTGGGGCTTCAGGAATGTGGTAGTATCACATAAATGCTAAAATATACAATTTTGCCTTTTATCTGGATCCAGATAATGAAAAGAATACAGTTAATGAAAAGTTTATGAACGCATTTATGCAATGCATCAGCTCAAGACATCTTGGGCTAATGTGCCATAACAGCTTCTGTATTTGGAGCTGTCCTTACAAATGATCTGTGGCCCTCTAAAAGAAACATTGAATGGGCAAAATAAAACCCAGGATGCTCTAATCCAGCCTTACAAGACTTCACTGCAAAAGCACCACACACGTCAGCTGCACTACAGGTCACTACTACAAGAATTTTGCCCAATGCACAGTTTTGGGCTGATTCACAACACCCTTTGCAAACAGACCCGTGGGATACAGCTCCTCTTCCCACATCATGTAAGGATGGAGGAGATGAAGCACCACCAGAAACAAATCTGCCCTTCCAACCACACTGTGAGCAGCAGCAGCAGGCAGAGCAGCTGAGCCTACCTGTGGCACAAAGGGCGATGAAGGTCTGTGCATGCTTCCGGATCAAAAGCAACTTGTCTTTAGGGAGAGGCACCTTCCTTAGGATGTGTTCAATGAAATCGTGTGGGGTGATGGCTGCAAGGTTCCACTTCAACTTCCCCAGCACCACCAGCTCCCATTCCTGCAGAGAGGACAGGGAGAGCAAAACAGAAGAAAAGACATAAGCAAGCCTACAAAAAACCTCTGTTTATTTCTTATTATAACTTTATCACTGCTAAATTTGTTTTGCTCAAACCCTTTTTTCCATATGCTGCTACTGCTTTGAAGTTGTTGACTTTATTTTTTATTTTTTTTTGAACACCAGAAATATCAGGCTCTACTGAAAATAATGAGACCTGGCAGCTCCTGCCAAGGTTCAATTTTTTTTTTTTAATCCAGTGCTGAATGCCCACCCAGAAAGTTTAGACTGCAATTAGATATTGCCAAGGTCACTGAGGTCCTTTCCTAGTAACTTCTTTTAAATGGCTATAGTCCTTACTTTATAGCCATTTAAAGCCCTAGGGACAGCCATGCACAAAAATAACCTAGATATACATTCCATTTTTTCAAAACTGGGGAAGTTGGCTTGATGGCATTGCCTCCCAAAACTGTACTCCAATGATCCTGCAAATAAATCTGATGGTGCTTAAACTACTCCAAGAGAGGTTCTGCAGAAAGGAAACACACACAACACAGCCAAGAAGTAACCTGTGTAAATTATCTGCCAGTATATCACGTAGGAGCCGTTCCCAGATTCTTTGCACGCCCAAAACTCCCACTGCAATCAAATGAAAGCTTGGGCGTGTACATAACTACCAGCCATTCCCTGAAATGGGATTCCATGTGCAAACAGCACCCAATGGCTAGATCCAGCCATGGGGTGCATGACCTGCATGTTTCAACATTTAAACTGAGTTCTGAACACCTTACAGTGCCCCACAGAGTGAGCAAAGCTCAAGCCTCCAGCTCACATTTGTCTCATCCGTCAATTATTAGCTATTAACTAAATTCCACGCACTGATTCCCAAGTCCTGATGATGCCTGATGGAGCTCAGTGTGATGGGGAGCCCCAGTTGAGCTGACAGAGCTGCAAGTCAGAAAAAAAAAAGTCCTTTAATTTTGCAGCCGCAGAGACGTCAACCAGCGTTGCTGAGAAACCATAAACATGGACCCCACAATGCCATTTCTGCAGTCGTTTCCCTGAATAGATGCCCACTTTAACAGCAAGTTACTTTCCTACAGACATTCCTGCTGGATTATGACAGAGCCCTTCATGGTCTGAAAAATCTCACATATATGCAAAAGGCTGCAGAAACCAGACGGGATTTTTTAATTTCTCCAGAAAACATGTAAAATGTTGGAACGTAACGGTGATTATGTGAACTCAAGGCCTGCTCTTCCCAGCATTACTGATGTGACAGGTTTTGAGAGAGAACAGTCAACCCAGAGGACCAAATACAAGGAAGCACTTTAAACACATGCTCAAATCCACATGGCACAAGAAGGTAGGGACACTGCTCTGCATATTTGCACGTGGGGACCACGGCACTTCCCCTGCCCATCTGTACCACCAAGGGGACACCTCCTGGCCCTGACAGCCAGGCAGGGTTTGAGGGCAAGGCTCTTTAACTCTGTGGAAGCATGAGCTATCAACACCAGTCCCTCCCCAGGGGGAATTCCCAGTGATTCATAGGAAAAATTCTTCAACAACTCAGATGGCTATGGCCTTCTCTCTGACCTAGCATGCATGTCACCAAGGGACCCTGGTGCACATCCAGTGCTCCATATCATGATGTATACATCACTTATTTCCTTCAGTAATTATCAATCTGCTTTGTTTCCACTGCATCCGAACTGAGAGAAGCAGCAGACACGAGGTGATTTAACTGAGCCTTGTCACACAGGATGGGTCAGGCTGGAAGGGACCACAGTGGGGCACCTGGTGCCACCTCCCGCTCCAGCAGGGCTATCCTAGGGCACAAGGCACAAGATTGTGGCCAGACTATTCTGGAATATCCCCAGAGAGGGATACTCCACACCCTCTCTGGACAATCTGTTCAGGGCTCGGTCACTGTCCAGGGAAGAAGTTCTTCCTCGTGTTCAGGTGGAACTCTGGGCATCAGTCGGTGCCGCTGCCTCTTGGGCACGGCCGAGCATTCCGATTCCGATTCCGATTCCGATTCCCTTTCCGGCCCCGCACCGCCGCGTGTCTGCCGCCAGGTGGCGCCGCCGCGCCGCCCGCCCGCGCACGTGCGCCCGGCGAGGTCCCCCGTAGGGGCACGGCGGGGACACGGAGGGGACACGGAGGGGACGGAGCCTCCCACAGCACCGCCAGCCCCAGAACCCCCGGCAGCGCCGTGCCCGCGCACAAGGCGGGCAGCAGCCCGAGCGCCGCATGGCACTGCCAGGCGGCTTAGGAGGACAGGGATGTCCCCGCGGGTGTCCCCCACCCTCAGCGTTGGCCCCGACACTTTCTGGCCGTTCAGAAAGGCGGGAAAAGCGCGGGTTTTTCTAAAAGGTGGGGGCTGGCTGGGTGGAGAAGTGCTGAGTGATGTGCCAGATAGAGAAAAGTGCTGTCCTGGAGAGGAGGGAGGAACGGGGCTGCTTACCAGCAGCTCTTGGGGTTTGATGGAATTGTCCGTGTATATGCACAGCTTCTCGGCTGTGAGGGGGATTGTCTCTTTCAGCTTGGAGGCCAGAAACATGCACACCGCCCCCAGCAACTGCAGATGGCACTTCCGAGTGGGCACCACAGCTAAGAATCTGTCCAAGTAATTCATGGCCAGAGGGAAAACTTCTTCTTCGCACTTCTGCTCTTCGCAGACCTGCAAGTGAGGAACGTGGGGAGGGAACCATGGGGTGGTCGGGGGAAAACAGGGGTGGGAAGTGAGAAGGAGATAAGGAAAAATAAATAAATAAGTGAACCCACCAAACAGACCATTACTTCCCTTGCTTTTGCTCCTATTTTTGTTTCCCGGGGAGCTAAATTTTGGGGGAGGGGGAGATCTGTGGAGAGGCTGGGAAGGCTGTCAATCGGCTTTCACATTCCTTTAGTTCATTCAGTAAGAAATGAATTCAAGACACTATGTGGGAGAGCCGAAAAGCCCCATCCAGCAGCAAGCGAGCAACCTCAGACTTTTTTTTTTTTTTTCCTTTGCGACCCAATTTTTCTTTTTTATTTCGTCATATTTTCAAAAAATCGATAAAAAATATCAAAACTTCCCCGGAGGTCCCGATTTTGGGGTTGGTGGCATCCCGGGACCATCCCCTATCGTTTCCGACAATAGTAAAAATTCCCCCGCCGGGTGTCCCCCAGCCCTGCGCCCCCAATCCCGCGTTATGGGGGAAGAACGGGAGACATAGCGAGGGCGAGGTGGGGTGGAGAGAGCTCGAGCCGCCTGGATCCTCTTAGCAGACAGCGAGCAGCAAAATTCTTTTAAAAATTTACAAAAAATCATAGCCGCAGAAAAAAAGCACAAATCGCACATGAAAACCAAGCGGGGAGTCTGGGCTTTCCAGCCCACGGAGTTTGGCTCGGGAAAGGTCCCCCCCAAAGGAGATCCGAAGGGGCAAAGGATGGCTGGTGGGGCCAGCGCAAGGAAGGCGAGTCTGCGGGGCTCCGGGCCCGCTGCCGCTGCGCCTGAAGCTCGGGGCGAACAGGGGGTTCAGCGCCACGGCCCCGACATACAGGGGGTCCCGTTCCGCGGGGGCGGGGGGCACTCCCGAGCCCCCCGGAAAGCAGCGGGGACAGCCGGGCTCGGCGTCTGCAAGCAGAGTCCGCATGCAGCGCAACATGGCGAGAAGAAGGCACGTCCTCCCCACTGCATACGTGGGCACGGAACCCTCGCCGGGCAGAACGCGGGGCACCCCCCGACCCTCGCCCTGCCCCGCGTGCTGCTCCTTTTTCCCAGAAATGCCTCAATCACAAGCGCTCCCGGAGGCGGGTTTTCTTTGCTTTTAATTGCAAATTACTTTTCCAACTCTCCCCCTCCACCACCACGCCGCCCTTCCTCCCCTCCTGCACCCCGCTCCCGGAGCCCCTCGAAAGGGGCGACTTCCCCCGCGGGCTGTCGGTGTCCCCCGCGCCCCTTTCCGCACCGGCTGAACTCCGGAGGGGGACAAGGAGGAGAGGGGACCGACAATAAGAAGCCACCCGGTGATCCGAAGAGCGAGGGGCTGCACAGGGAGAGGGGCCGGGGTGCTGCCCGCGGCCGCTCTCCCTCCCCCACTCCGAGGGGCCGGGGTGTACGAACCTCCAGCATCCAAGTGGCCACCATCCTCCTCATGAAGGGCTGGATGTCCTTCTGGACGCACTTGAAGTAGGAGCATTGGGGCAGATACCTTTCCTCTATGGTTAGTAAGTTGTGCAAAACGCGGTCATCGTAGAGCAAGTTCGGGTCAGGCAGAGCTCTCCTCATGGGATCCACCTCGCAGCACAGCAGCTCCATGTTTCCAAAGAGATCTCTCTCTTTCTCTGATGGGAAAGGTTTTTTTCTTCTTTTTTTTTTAGCTTTATTTTTTTTTTTTAGGGGGGGAAGGGGGTGGGGATAGGAGAGGGGTAAAGGAGGAGGGGTAGGTGGGTGGGAGGAAGACGGCAGGACTTTCCAGCTCGCTCCTGCCTCCCTTGAAACTTGTCTCTCCCTCTCTTGATTTCTAGCCTAAAGTTGAAGCAAAGTGACGCAACTCGCCAGGGCAGGCAGTTCTCTCTCTTGTTATTATGGAGAACAGCAGCTGGTCAGACGTAACATCAAACGCTTTTTTTTTTTTTTTTCCCCTCTATAAGCTAACAAGGAACCAGGAGGCCCTCGTATAGGGACACACAAATGACAGCTTCTCTTTTGCTTCCTTCCAGCAACCAAATTAAACTCGTTCCACACTTGCCTTCTGAGGGAGCCCGTCCCGATCAATTTCTCTCTTCTTCTCTTACTGCAAGGGACTGTGGGCTCCCCTCGGTACCCACCCAGACGATGAAATGCCCTGGCATAGCACTGCGCCAGATCCATGTCTCGCTCTCCCTGCTCCGGCACCTCCTTAAACCTGCAGCCGGAGGGGGACGGAGCTCCGCACTAACAGCAAACTCCCCAAAAACTCTTAAGGGGCGTTCCGCGGCGTCTTCGGGGTGAAATCTCACAACCACCACGGTACTTCCTCCGGCACATATTCGTGGTTCGAGAAGGCGAACCGTCTTAGCGTTGCATGGCCACACTGATACAACTTTCTAGGAAACGCAGCGGAGGAGGGAGGGAGGAGGGAGAAAGGTTGGCTGGGGAGGAGGGGGGAGGTGAGAGGAGTTATGTCCCACACAGGGTGACTTCCACTCGGCTCGCACTTCGCCGGTAGTCGCTCCCCGCCTGCAAAATGCGACAACTTTCCGAAGTGTGCGCCGGCTGCGGCAGAGCGGAGGCTCCCGAAGGGGAAGGCGCTCCCGGGGCGGGCGCGGAGCGGCCGCAGCCCCGCGGGGTGCGGGGTCCCCGCAGCGGCCGCCCTACAGCTCCCCGGCGGCAGCCGGCGCAGAGGGTGGGCTGGGGGCAGCGGGTATGGAAATACCGCCTTAAAAGTGCGAGCGGGGACTTTGGGGCGCTGCTTCCCCTCCCGCTATTTGCATAGCCAATAGCTCTGGGGCTCTCGCCGCTGCGCGCTGATTGTTACCGGGCAGATTATATTTTAAGGGCGCATGGTGCCCAGGCATCGAGAGCAATCCGGAACGGATGGGGCGAGAGCCCTCTCACCTGAGCGCATCGCCAGACCCGGCAGCCGCACAGGCTCTGCCGGCATCGGGGGCAAGGCGGGCGAGCGGCCGTCGTTGCCCGCGAGTGGGAACCGGCGCCCCCTCCCACGCCAGCTCTCGCCCTTTGCATCAGAGTGGATGAGAGGGGTGGGAACAGCTGTGCCGACTCTCGCCGGGGTCCAGCAGCAAGGCTGCACTGGCAAAAGCTGCCTGGGACACGGCCCCGCAGCGAACCCGCCCGTCGGAGCAAAGGGCTCCTTGGGCAGCAAAAAGCCAGCGGGAGTGTCGCCGCTCCCATCCCCCTGTAGCGGGGGACAGCCGAGAGCAGCATCTCCCCACAAACTCATCCCTGCGCACCCCTCGTTCCGTCCGCGGAGCGCGCAGCCCCCGGGCGCAGCCGAGACGTGGGGAGCTGCCGGGCATCGTGTGTGGCCCCGGCGGCCGAGCCGCGGGTTACCGGGACCCGGGCAGAGCTGTGCCAGGCAAGCTCGCGTTTGAGGGGCGGCGAGGAGGGGACACCCCCCGGCGCACGGCGAGGGCGGCGAGCGGGACCCGCTGCGGCGCGCTCCGCAATGAAAGGCTCTTTAACTTCCACCATTCATTTCCCCTTCCTGGCTGCTCCTGCGAACAGGGAGCGTGTTGTGTCAGCGCACGTTTTCCTTCTCCAAACTTAAATTCATAAGCGTCCCCGTCTGGCTTTGTAGACCGACAATGCAGCGATTGTGATTTATGTGGGTTTCGGGGGGGAGGACAACGGGTGTCCCGATTGTCCGGCAGCGACTTTCCGAAGTGGGGTGATGTCTGGGGCACGGCGGGGAAGGGATGCAGGGCCCCCGCGCCCCGCGATGGGGCGGCAGCCGGAAGAGCAGCCGAGGGCACCGCGAGCTGGCCACCGTGCTGGGCGTATGGTGGGGATGTCCCGTTAGGGAAAAAAAAACCAAAAAAACAAAAAAACCCTCCCTTAATCAATAATAAATGGAAGCGTGCCAGCTCCGCACGTGGAGGTGCGGCTGATCGGCAGCAAAGTCGTGAAAAAAAAAAAAAAAAAAAAAAAGGAAAAAACCCTACCAAAACACTTTCTCCCGGTGCGACGGCTTCTATGTGCTCGGTGCCCGTTTCCAGCGGGGAAACACCATCCCTGGGAAGCTCGGCCGGCAGGCAGGGAGCCAGGGACCCGCGGCCGCGGAAGCCAGGATGTCCTAGCTGCCCCTTCGCCTTGTCCCCGTGCCCACGGGCGCTGCAGCATGCGTTTGGAGGCAGCAGATGTTTTAACAGCCTCCGTGTAGAGATTACCGAGTGCCATATGTTAAATACCACCCTTCCTCTGCAAAAAACCAAACCAAACAAACAAACAAACAAAAAAAAAAAAAAAAACAAACAAAAAAAAAACCCCCAAAACAAAACCACCAAAAAACACCACCCCCCAAAGGCAAAAAATAATAACAAAAAATAATGCAACAGTATAGCAGCAAAACCCACCCTTTTTGCTCTCACTCCCCTTCTGTTGGTGATCTGCCTCACCCATTTAAAATCATAAATTATTAAATCAATCGTCGCGGGGATGTGCGCCCAGCCCCGGGCGGGCGCTCCCGCGGAGCCGGGGGGAACCGCGCTCCCGGGACAGCCGCTCCTCCTTTCCATCCCTGCAGCCCCGAGAGAAGGGGGCTGTGCTGCTCCCAACCCCACCGCAGCCGCCGGGTGGCAATACCGCCGGCATTATTTACGTCTTTGGACACTTCTGCTGAGCACCAAGTCCGGTGTCACGGCTCCTCATCACGAACCCGACGCGCGGTTATCGTGTAATCGATAATATATAATGATATTTTATTGGCCTCTGTTGGAGAGCGCTGCAGAGCTCTTGGGGTTTTTTGATAAATCCTAAATTCGTCATCACTCCTATTTATTTATTTCCCCAGCAAATCTCAGAGAACCATCAGGAAGATGCTGCAGGGGACAGGATGGGCTCAAGCTTTGCAGAGCAATAGACAAGGTGTGAGTGCGCCCGGCGGCTGCGGGGGTTTTGTTTGTTTAAATGGAATAAGTATTCCTTTGCAGTGCCTGAAACCTAAAGACTGGAGTGTGAAACATGAGAATCTGAAAGTGAAACCGACTGGAAGCCAAAAAAGAAACAGATGAACGTGTTTCCACTGTCCAAACTGAGGAAAGCCCCGAAAGAAAACAAACACCATGAATAATAAAATGCGCAGTATATTTGAAATAAAATTATTCCAGCTTCAGTCACTGGAAGGAGTCTAGTTTGGGTTTGTTTGGTTTTTTTTTTTTTTTTTGTTGATTTATCTGATTTTTAGCCATTCAAAGGTAAATCACATAATTCCATGCTGTACATTCAACAGGAAAAGCATGATAAAAATTATCTTTTATTTCCTCTGGTTTTTGATGAAAGACTGGGAAAGGATGTGAATAGCACAGGATCTTCTGGGTATCATCCATGTATTTTCAAGGAGTTTTTTAATTATACAGTGTAGTTTTCAACTCTAAATAACTGTGTGGTGGCAACTTTATGATTAACATTAGACAATGTAAGTATTGAGCAGGTGAAACATACTCTGTAATAAAACTATTCTCACCTTTATAGGGTGATTCTATGCAGGCTCAATAGTTAACAGCATTAACTAATGGATTCTGTGTGATTGGTTAATATATTTTTAATTAATTACTCCCTTCTATTTTGTGCAAAGTTTCTTCTTCAACCTTTCTCATTCTCCAGTTCAAACTTTTTCAGAGCAGTAATTAGAAACTGTTTTTGTGCAAAGAGTGCATGACTCCAGTCAGATTTCTTTATTAGGTGAGATGGGAAAGGAGTCCAAAAAAAGCTGCAAGGATGGTCATGTACCTGGGATTGATGTTTTATGCTGGAAGACTCAATAAATTAATCACATTTAGCCCAAAGAATTCCCAGGCTGATATTACTGCTTTATCTGGCAGGGGTGCCGCATCCTTTGCAGCCGCCGTGCTCCTCTCCTGAGGGGGCAGGGTGATAAGGCTGCGTTTGTTTACTCGGACAAGGAACGGGGAACAGGTGCCTCCCACGCGCCAGGAAGTCAATGGAAAGTGACATTTTTTACCCTGGCATGCAGAACTGTACAGAAACGCTGTCATTCTTTTCTTGGGTTTGGTTTTGGGGTTTTTTTTTTTTTGGTTTTTTTTTGGGGTTTTTTTTTGTTTTGTTGTTTTGTTTTTTGTTTTTTTTTTTGGTTGGGTGGGTTTTTATTTGGTTTTTTTGGGGTTTTTTTTTGGTTTTGTTTTGTGGTTTTTTGTTTTGTTTTTGCTTTTCAAGCAGATACTTGAAAGAGCAAGCACGGTTCTGATAAATTACAGGTATGAACCACTGATATCTACTTCATCATTAATAATATGACAGAATCTCAAGGTGACAATCCCCTCCCCCCCTTTTTATTTCTTTTCTCCTCATTGCATATGAATCAGCTTACTTTTCTGCTTAAAATGGCTTTGCTGTTAACCTCTTGCATTCCCTAACTGCTGGCATGTTTGTATCAATCCTTAGTTCAAGAATGGCTTCAATATAAAATGCACAAGTTTTTTTTTTCTTTTCAGACTGTTGAGACTTATCAATAAAAGACTTTCTGTCCCAAATCTGCAGCTGATCTCTGATTTTTAGAGCATCTTGCTGTGACCTTCCTTCCTTCCTTCCTTCCTTCCTTCCTTCCTTCCTTCCTTCCTTCCTTCCTTCCTTCCTTCCTATTCCATTTTATTTGCTTTCTATCTACACTGAGGCAAAGATTTTACATTACATACACGTGTAGCATGCCCA